TCACATATGCGACATGCATGTTCTGATCCCAGCACCAACTGAAGACTGGAGTGCTCAGAAAGAAACACCATGTCGCCAACAAAACAACAAACACACCAAGACAAGAGAGAGAATCTAGAGCATGCTCGGACCTCTCGTGCTTGCATCAAGCAGGAGCGTGCATGGCCAGAGTGCAGTCACAATGGTGCTCATACAGAGACAAAAAATGATAGAAAATGAAAGCTCGACCCGAGAAAACTCAAGACGAGCACAACATACAAGACATGAAAGGACTAGTGTCTGGACTCTGGCACTAATACAAGAATGAACAAGACCAGGGTGGGAAAATTCTAACACTTTGCAGGATAAACCTGGTCATTCCAAATATTTTATTTATGGAATACTGTATCTTCACAATGTCACTCTCATTCAAGTCTCCCAAAAAGGCTTAGAACCTCTAAGTGTAACTGGTTTAACACTCAGTTCTTTCCTTATACTATCATCAACCAGCAGTTTTCATTTAGAACAAAGCAGTGCATTGAAGCTGAAAACATTGAAATAATGAAATGGCTGGCTTAGAGTCCTGATCTGAACCTGATTGAAAATGTCAAATGACAATTGTACCTTAGAAGCCTAAAATCAGTGACCCTATTGGACCAAGAATACACCAGAAAATTGGAAGTAATGATGACCTGTGGCTAATATATTACTGTAATATTTTAAAAGCTTATTTTTGCATATTGTTAAGGAACATTTTTCCTTAATGCAAAATATTATGCATATGATAATAATAATACAAATAATAAAAACTATTTTTTATTTATAGTCTAATTTGATTTTTTGTAACACTTTAAGTAAATCAATTGGCTGTTTGTACCTATAAACATACAGTATGCTATATAATCCTATTCTATCTACATATTTTTCCACAAATTACTTAATCTATCTACAATTTATCACTAATCTATCTTTCAACCTATCCCTTAATAACTAATCATAAGCAGCAAGTTAGAAGTTTGAAGCCATTAATGGCTAATTAAATTGACAAAAAGTTATTGATTTCTTCATTTTTTATCATATATAGTATATAATATATTCACATTTTAAATGTAAAAGTCAGCACTTTTAACAACATAAATCCCATTATTACAATGTCAGCTGCCACATCCATGCAGAATTCATTCTGATAAAGTACACAGCCTTCTGGATTCTTCTCATTTATGATTTTGTTGCATTATGTGTGTTTTGTCGGTTGTCCTAGAAACATTCACAATAGAGATTCGTGCCCCTCCAGAAGGTTATAAGCAGGTGTTGCCCTTGCAATAAAAAAGGAATAATACTTTTGGACAAAACTATCTGCTAAACAATAACTTAGTCTTATAGATGCCATTTGAAGATAATACCGTGTCATTTAGGTGCCTATGTATTGCTGGGCACTGAAATCTGTATCGCCGTACCATGTTGCGCATGGGTTATCTTATCTAATCTTATCTTATGTAACCTTCATGTTCTCAATGGATCCATTGCTTTTAAATAGGGAAATATTATATCTTTTTAAAATATTGTATTAATTAGTATAATTAATTAGTAATATATTTTATTAGTTTCTTGATGTCAATTCAATATTGATGCTCCTATTTCATCAGTAATCTAATAAATTAATCTATCAAATAACATAAACTTGACACATTTGTTAGTGTGTTTGTACGCAGGGTAAAACAAAAAGCACATGATTGTTTTGGACTTTCAATTTTATCTCTCAGCTATTATTGCATTAACATCTTTGCGTAGACATTCCCTATATTAAAGTAACCGCATTGGTATTTGACAAGCGCAGTTTACCACTGATCCTGCTGTTGCATTGTAGTTAAATGCATATTAATTTAGCTTAATTACACTTTTAACACATGCAAAAATGTGCTGAGCAACAAAATGTTTTGCTGTACAAAACTGAACACAGATTATTGTCAATTAAATAATGAGCCCTTTAATTCAAATTGATTATATCACATATAGATATTTTCTATCGACTTCCTTGTTGTAAAGGGCTTGTTAAAGATCTTTAATCTTTTACTCCTCCATGCTGTGGTTTATTGTTATTGTACAGCTGCACGTGCAAGCTAGTGTGGTCAAAACAACAACATGATAGTCTGAACTTATTCACCCACTCACATGTAGAAATGAAATATGCAGAACTATAATTTGAAGAACGTCTGTACGAATACAGCAGAAGGGAATTAAGCATAAAAATGTTCTGAATTAGTTTGACCCAAAGGTGTTTTTGACTTGACTGCATTCTGTGCTGCATAACCAATCTCTTTAATGTTTTGAGCCTAGAAGCAAATCAAAGCGACAGAGACAGCATCCAATATATTTAACAAAGCATTTCTGGGCAACGAGAAAGCAATTCATCATAGTGAATCAAGGTTTTTTGAACAATTTAAAAGGAGTAAAAGTGAGGCTCTGGAAACTAGTTTTATACTGTATGGAGATATAGAGTTATGCACTCTATATGGGACACTCTACCAAAAACTTACTAAATTTTCACTTATAAAAAATGTGACAAGGCCTGACTTAACCTTGTCGTCCTCAAAAAAAAAAAAAAAAAAAAGAAATGTGACATGGGGACGAATGTGTTTAGATTTTATATTTGTAGTATTTATTTTTAGAATTTATTGATAACTTCATGTTTTTAATCAATTGATGTAACTGACAACAACTTAAGCTTGCTATTTATGAAGTTTTATTCCTAAATAACAGTTTTTAGTATAGTAAAACAATTAAAGCTGTAGGTTTAATTGGGTTGAGGACAAGGACAATGGCAGGTTTGTACATATGTAAAGTGTTTTTATTAAAATAGATTTTTTTTAAATCTGAGAACCAAATGAATGACATGTTCCTTTACAGAACAACTCACTGAAATCAACCATCAGTCTATTTTAGAAATGTTTGGGATGAAATACTTTTTATTCACTGCATTTGTTTTTATTTCAGGGACAGATAATGTACGTTTCTGGTAGAATGTCCAATATGTCAAGGACATGTTGGTGTACACATGAAATCCAATTTATAAATGTGATTTTGATTACACTTTATTTTAAAGAGGACCAATTATACAAATTTTTACAAAAACGTGATGTAGAGCGTGTACTGTATGTAAAGTTTCAGATCAAAATACTACACAAATATTTTTATGAAGTCTTTGAAACTGCCCCTTTTAGGCTGTGATCTAAATTGCTTTTTGGGGACTAACTGATATTGTGCTCTTTTCAAAAGAGGGTGGAGCTAAAAATGTCTATAGGTGCATCCAAATATGCACTACTTAAGTATATACTATATTGGAATTCGAAATTTACTACATGAACGTTAGAAAAATACATAGTCTGAATGGGAGAAGTATGAGTTGAACTCGGATGTACTACATCTGCCATTTTGTCATCATCACATGACCTATCCATGTCAATTACGTTGCTTTGTTTCCATTTATAGATTCTCTTGTGAAGCATTATGGATAGCGAAGCGTACATTGGATGCGCACTTCAGAATTTTGGCAGAAGTAGTACTTCTCTGGGTACTTCTCGCCTACTGTTGTTTGAATGACTGCATCTGAAATCGCCTACAGGTTCTGAATTTGAATTTGTATTTACTACTCAATGGAAAGTGCATTCTATACAGTATGAATTTGAGTAGTATGAATGGAACTCGGATGTACCATAACCACCATTTTGTCATGATCCTGTGACCTACCCTCTGGAATCATTGGAAAGTGTAGTATCCTTCAGATACACACTTCAGAATCTAGCTGGAAGTCGTAGATAATCCAGGTACATCTCGCATACTGTTTTTCGAATTCTGAATTTGGACATATTTCTCACCTTGCATACTGTTTCATACTTACGTACTAATATATAGTATGCAAGTATGCGATTTCAGACTATGAATTCTGACATAATACTTGGCTCACATACTTACATACTCACATACTTACATAGTATATAGTATGGAAGTATGTGATTCCGCATGCAGCCTATGCCTCAGCTGCAGATTCAAAACAGGACTAATGTTTTCTCATTTAAATCGTTACTAATCACCAAAGGTTGGGACTTCCCCCCTCTGATGACATGTTCAACAGGAGAATGTCAATCAAAGTGTTTTTGCAGTGTTTTTTTTTATCGAGTGTGATTAGAAGAAATAAAAATAAATACACTTTACCATTAGAGGCTGTCTGTATGCACACATTGTTGCCACTTAACTGTGTTTAAACCCCTTATAAACATTATTTTTGCATAAATGTCCACTTTAAGGTATGCATTTCTTGCTATTAGCAAACTAAGAGTTTTAGTTATATAAAGTATTAATTTGCTGCTTATTAATAGATAGTACATAAGCATTTTGGTTTAGTTATTGGGTAAGATTTGAGATAAAGAATAAATAATTACACAATATCTTTATAATAAGGAGAAAATAAGCTAATGGTTACTTAAATTAGTAGATACTTAAATATCAATTGTTGAAAATAAGTTTTGGGATGAAGAATAATGTTAAATGTTTCTGTTAAAATATGCGTAAATTAACATTCCACAATCATTCATTGTAACAGTTATATGTATTTAGATATTAAATAACATATTCTGACCTGTAATAGTTTTTTTACTTTTAAAATTAATAGTTTTTGACATTCCATGCAATAGAACGTGTTCTGATAATTTAACACGTAAATATAATTATGCACAATTTTAAATGTAGTGTATTATTGCATGATGATGTATATTCAGTTCAGTTTCGTCAGTATCACATAATATTCCAGAAAGCATTGTAATATGCTGTTTTGCGCCTCATCCAGATCTTTCCAGTAGTTTCAGTTCAAGTTTTTAAATCAATATTACAACAAGAGCACTTTTTTCATCTCAAAGTTAATTTGCACAGTTTAATCTATAAATTCTTAACTTTAATTAAACCAAAATAAACCAAAATTCAACGCGTTGAAGCTCAACCTGTTACACCACTCTCCTGAACGAGAAAATCTGAGGATGGACACGGACACGCGCGCGCGCACCTATCCATCATCAATTGCCTCCTTCTTGCCTGGTGCACTGAATCCACTTGAAAACAACGAACGCATAAACAATCAAAGGCAAAAGCCGTTTGATTTGCCGGTGAAACCCAAGAGAAGCGAAGAGTGAGAAGGATGAAAGCCCTCAGTCTGTCATCATCTCATTGGATGTTCGGGTGCGTCTTACCGCAAAGACCCATCATCCGAGCAACTCAGTGAAGGCACAGGCTCTGGAAGCACCTGTCATCACTGCACGATTATAGTTTTGCAAATAGTGATTGATTACATCGATTATTTTAGCATAATTGCGTGCCCGGTGGTCATCATGAAGTTAAGCACAAGTCTGGATGCGGCACGGCGCGTGCACTGAAGACGCTGGAAAGGTGCGTGTTTCTGCATTTGCTAACTTTACAACACGAAACGCTTAATTTATTTATTGAATCATGAATCATTTATTCATGTTAGATTTGTAAACTCACATTCAGTCGTTTGTGTGGCTAATAAATCCAAAATACACATCGAAATTACTATATAAAAAACAAATATCTAAATGTTTTTAAAGGCTTATAAACTGTATGCAGTGTGTATTTAATGTTTATTTTTTATTTTTTGTTTTGTTTACTAGGGTTGTATCGCATCAATATTCAAAATTGAATTTATATTGCTTTTTAATAGTATGATTGTTTCGAATGATCAATTTTTTGCTTTATTATTAATGGCAAATGAAGGTTATAGTATAGAAGGTATGCAGTTACTGGCTCGTGGCGATCCACCGTACAGTAAGCGTTTCAGATTGAGATTGATTACATTCAGATTGAGTCCAGTAAATGTGGTACATTAGGTAAAGAGAGACAAATGAGTGTCAGGACCTCTTAAATATTGGGAAATTGGTCAGACAAATGGGGCATTTTTAAAACTCTTCTAATGGATTGTATTACCATGGGTTATGTTATCCATTTGATAAGGTTAGTGTTCCCTGTTATATGACATCTGTTTTGACATGGTTTTTCAGCTCGAAGCTAGTCAGCAGCAAGTCTGAATTTTATCAGCAAATGTAGATGATGGATATGACCAGGCAGACACTGTGTGGCTGTAGTAGCTAGAAAAGAACACTATGCTGGTTAATAAAACAGCTGTCATCTTCCTCAAACCAGTTGAATCAGGTTGAGAGCAGATGACATCGATTACCCTAATACAAATTGAGACAAACCATCCTATAATTTTTAGTATAAGACAAACCCCGTCCCCCCAAAAAAGAAAAAAAAAATTAAATAAAACAAAAAAAGAGAGTTGGTTAGTTCAAGTACAGTCCCTTTTCTTTGACTTGTTTTAAATAACACTTGTTTTAATCTGTTGTAATTGTAGTTTCAAACACTGAGCCTCCGTGTCACCCTAGAGAACATTCATTCATTTATTTTCTTTTCGGCTTAGTCCATTTATTAATCTGGTGTCGCCACAGCGGAATGAACCGCCAACTTCCACACACATTCACACTCATACATAATTCATTCAGTACTACCAACTTTGCCACCCCGTCACCCTAGAGAACATTCAGTTATAAATAAATATATAGTAAAATATACTGTATAATAAATTCAGAACTGCTGAAAAAAATCATAATAAAATGCAAAAAATAAGTTTCCATTTCTGTCTGCTATACCCCCACTGCAGTATATCCTTCATGTCTGTACTTATAGCCTGTACCTCCCTGTACTAATCTGTTTAACACAGGTCTTCCATCATGCAGAAGAAACAATGCAGGAGGTAGCAGTTTCAGCGCTGACTCAAGACAGGCTCATTTAACCTTATTTAATCACCCTTGGATTCCTATGATGGCCCTGATCTGCCTTTGCGAGTCTGTGAATACATCAGACCAGGATTATGAGTTCTGCAACAGCAGTACGTTCAACTTCACTGGAAATGACAGTGCACACTGTTACCTTCAGACCATTGATGAAGTTCTGTTTAAGCTTCTGGGCCCAAGACGATCTCCGTTCTTCTTCCCTGTAACCTGTACTTACATCCTCATCTTCATGACCGGGGTCTTAGGAAACCTCCTGACCTGCGCTGTAATCACTAAAGATCGAAAAATGCAAACTCCCACCAACTTGTATCTCTTTAGCCTGGCCATCTCCGATCTTCTAGTGCTACTCTTCGGGATGCCTCTGGAAATCTACGAACTTTGGCAAAACTACCCTTTTCCCTTCGGCGAGAGCATCTGCTGCTTTAAAATCTTCTTGTTCGAAACAGTTTGCTTTGCTTCCGTGTTAAACGTCACAGTGCTAAGTGTGGAGCGATACATAGCTGTGATTCACCCGCTCAAAACCCGTTACGCCATCACCAACAAGCACGCTCGAAGGGTCATCGCTGGGGTTTGGGCTATGTCTCTGCTCTGCGCCGTCCCGAACACCTCCCTCCATGGCCTGCAGTATCAGTATCTGCCGGAGAGGGTTCAGGAATCGGCTACCTGCAACCTGCTCAAGCCCAAATGGATGTACAACTTGGTGATCCAGATCACAACTGTGCTCTTCTACTTTGTTCCCATGATGATGATCAGCGTGCTGTATCTGATGATCGGTCTGACGCTTGGCAGAGGGCAGAAGCAGAAAAAGGACAAGCTGGGAAGCAATCACAGCAACGACAGCTGGAAAATCCATCTGGACAGCAGACGGAGAAGGCAGGTCACCAAGATGCACTGTAAGTGATGGCCTGCTGTTAGTACAGTGAATATGTAATGCTATTTCAGCAGTATTCAAGCGTGTAAAACTCAAACCCTACTGTAATTGTCAGGATTTTCACCAAATGTGGTTTTTAAATGAGTGTTTTCCCACCATGTTCCTGGAGGCACACCAGCAGTAAATATTTTGGAGGTCTCACTTATCTCAATCATTAACTTCAGGTTTTGGTCTCTTCTTATGTTCTGATGAGTTCATTTAGGTGTGTTTGATTTAAGTAGGTATCGCTGCAGCCCGGAGACCTCCAAGTGGGAGGTATTTACACGGCAAGCAGGTTGGGTAACCTCAGAGTAAGAGGGACTTAAACCACAAGTAGGTTGATAAATAAAACACAGATTACTGTGAGTTTAGGTTTGGGGTAGGCGTAGAGATTAATAAAACACAGAATACTGTGAGGTTGGGTTTAGGTTCGGGGTAGGCGTAGACGTTAATAAAACACAGATTACTGTGAGGTTGGGTTTAGGTTCGGGGTAGGCGTAGACGTTAATAAAACACAGATTACTGTGAGGTTGGGTTTAGGTTTGGGGTAGGCGTAGAGATTAATAAAACACAGATTACTGTGAGGTTGGGTTTAGGGTTGGGGTAGGCGTAGACGTTAATAAAACACAGATTACTGTGAGGTTGGGTTTAGGGTTGGGGTAGGCGTAGACGTTAATAAAACACAGATTACTGTGAGGTTGGGTTTAGGTTTGGGGTAGGTGTAGACGTTAATAAAACACAGATTACTGTGAGGTTGGGTTTAGGGTTGGGGTAGGCGTAGACGTTAATAAAACACAGATTACTGTGAGGTTGGGTTTAGGTTTGGGGTAGGTGTAGACGTTAATAAAACATAGATTACTGTGAGGTTGGGTTTAGGGTTGGGGTAGGCGTAGACGTTAATAAAACACAGAATACTGTGAGGTTGGGTTTAGGTTTGGGGTAGGTGTAGACGTTAATAAAACACAGATTACTGTGAGGTTGGGTTTAGGGTTGGGGTAGGTGTAGATGTTAATAAAACACATCAGGTTACTGTGAGGTTGTGTTTAGGGTTGGGGTAGGTGTAGACATTCATAAAGCACAATATTGTACAAGACATTAAAGAAATAGAAACTCCAGGTTTGAACAGCCCACTTGGAGCTCGAAGGCCAACCCACTTGGAGCAGCCTCTGACCTCCATTTACACTCTTCTCGTTTGATTAGGAAGAGGTTGAAAATGTGTACTGTTGGTGTGCCTTCAGGAACAGGGTTGGGAAAAACTGCCTTAAACTTATATTGCCAAGCCCATCTATAATGTGACCTGATGGTGGCGCTACCATAATCAAAGGTGCAAAATCACTCATAATTTCTAAACCGTTCACCGCAGACTTAAGTGTCTTATATTATGGGAATCTTTGGTTGAAGGTAAAACAAATGCATGTGTAAGATTAAACCACCCCTCAAGTAAAATGTTCAAGTTGTTTTTTAAAAGTGACAAATTTTGCCTAAAAGTTTTGTGCTTTTCATACAGTTAAAAACCTAATCAACACTGTAAATAATGCCCAGTTCCACACAATTACTTCATATGTCCCAATACAAATCGATTAAGTTAACAGTTATTTGGAGTGGACTAAACATAAAACAATTAAGTTGTATCCAAATAACACAAAAAATACCTTGAACAAGCAGCAAAAGTCATTTTTTGAGTGCACCTTCTGCCAATGTGTTATTGAACAGGGTTAATGGAGGTCATTCATAATAGAAAATTATGTCTGGGGTCAGTCTCTGATAAATTTCAAGAAAGCCATTGGTTGTTGCAATCAAGCTTTACACGTCATACATCCTGCAATATTTCAAACAAACACAATATCATATGTCAGAACTGATAATCCTGAAAAGTTATGCCCCAACCCAATCTGATAGGAAAACTATCCATTTTACACACTGGAGATTTGAATTCTTAAAATATGAATCATTTGAAAATTATTACATTTATCAAAAAAAAAAAAAAAAAAAAAAAAAAGCAGGCCTAACCTTAATTATATGTAACGCTCTGAATGACTAATACTCTGAATTTGTCATTTTAACTTTGGAAGAAAAGTTCTAAATTATTAATCAATTGAAGCTGAGCATTTTTTTTATATGTTAAGCTGTATACTTTATGACCGAACATCAAAAATAACGTGCGCTGAGCTACAGGTAAATATTTTTAATCTCATTTATTTTTAGCTTAAATATTATTGAGAAATCTCCCTTACTTTAGCAAAAAAAAAAAAATTATAATAATAATAAAAATAAATAAAAGTGTTACACTGTAGATATCTCTGTTTATAAACATAACAGTAAACTTGCTGCACTCAGAAAATGATGTTTGTTGTTTGTTCAAACAGCACAATTCTTGAGTTTATTTGGAGGACAATTTAACTATTTTATGTTTAAACAACTAAAATTTGTAAAAGCTAACTTAATCTGTTGAAGTTGCCCCAGCACAAATCAATTGTGAGGAACCCAGCATTTTCTACAGTGTGTTTTGTTCGATGTCTGACTTAATTTCAACTGAAGCTCCTCCCCTTTAAAAAAAACAGCATTTATATATCACACATCTGCCAGTCAAGATTGAGCTCACTGTAATTTTGATTTCACTTGCACTTTAATGCTCAATATTATATATTTAGAAGCACATCTAAACTTTCTTTCTCTAAAAATAAGAGTTAGTTGCAAAGTTAGAGTCAACACGATGTCTAAAGGTGAACATCCAATTAAAGTGTAACCTATTGGGTTTTTTTCCAACACATTCTCATTCCCCTGTTGTCACGTACTGATGTTTGTGTAGCAGAGGGCAGCTAATGAGAGAGATGCAGGTAAACCTCACTCCCCGATCTCACAAGGTGCATTAGAATCACTGAAATCCTGTTTGAAACAGAGTAGAACCATAGGGGACAAGCTTGTTCTGGACCAAGGCCATCCAAATATGCAAGCTGCGATCTCATTCCCTGATCTCACAAGGTGCATTAGAATCACTGAAATCCTGTTTGAAACACAGTAGAACCATAGGGTACAAGCTTGTTCTGGACCAAGGCCATCCAAATATGCAAGCTGCGAAATATCTATTTAGGATTTGGATAATCTTTGTCATTTCAAACTAGAGTCTTAATTCCCTTTGTTTATTTTTCACATAATTATGGCAAATCTAAATTAGCAGTTTCCTTAATCCAGTGACAAAGCAATTCCATATCCCAATGTAAAGCATGTTGAGCATTACTTCTGAAAAACATCCATTTGGATGGTGTTTACATTGGAGCGGTGAAATCTTTAGCCAAATACTCACTTAAAACCACACACACGCACACACAATGTTTTACATCTTCTCTATGCCTTCCCCTAACAGCAATGTTACTGTTCCAAGAGCATCTTTCAGTTTTTGGCAGGTGTTATCGTCACCATGGCCATCATCATGAATAGGACCTTGAAGCAAGACACTTTCATCTGCTTTTATACATCGTGCGTGCACACAATTGCAAAGTGCACTATGGCACAAATTACTCACCATTAAAGCTATTCAATTAGAGACTCAAGTGTAAGCTCATGAGAGAGATGCTTAAGCATTGCTTTTAATCTCGAAAAGGAAATTGCCTCTTGATTTTAAAGCTGGCATCATGATTTAACAAAAATCTGTCTTTTATAAAAGTGAAAATCTGTCCTTTGTACTGATAGAAATGTAAAAATCAGAAGACCTGCGGTGTTCTCTGAATCACAGCCTGCATGACTCACTGTTTTACTGATAGATTGCAACCTAACAATTCCTACTGTTTTAATGTCACTGACAATAGGCGGAGGTCGCAAATGCTGGAAACGAAATGTACCGGAAGTGCTTCATTCATTCTTTGATGCACTTTTATCAATATCATGAATACGTTTCATTTAGCCTGTTATAAATAGTTCACGGCTGGTTGAGTAGTCCTTTTTATGAATAGGTTTAATGATTGGTTGAAAATGTAAACCTCTTCCTGACTAAAACTTCAGATAATGTTTCATTGCTTTCACTGGTACAGTTTGCTTCTTTGGAAGATTTTGCCTGTGAAAAACAGACTTCAAAATGGCATATGCAATTAACCCACTCTGTGAACCAAACAAGCCATGAGATAGTCTGTTAGAACGTATAAAGCCATGGCAAAAGCTGTCCATCCTCTGAAATAATTTTCACAACCCAATCTCAAATGATGTAACTGAAATGAACAAATAATCGGCGCTAGTCAATCCACTGAAAAAAAAGTTTTTGTTAATCTTCAATCAAAATCTGGTCATTTGCTTCAGAGTTTGAAATGACGGTCCTTCTGTTGACGTGATGGTTTCGGCCACTGGCAATAGGCTGAGGTCGGAAATACTGTAAATAAAATGTGCCGGAAGTGCTCCATTCATTCTTATATTCACTTTTATTAATATCATAAACACGTTTCATTTAGCCTGTTATAAATAGTTCATGGCTAGTTAAGTAGTCTTTTTTATGAATAGATTTAATGGTTGAAAATCTAAACTTCTTCCCAACCTCAGCTGCAGATGATGTTTCATGGCTATAATGTAACTTTTGCAGTTTGCTTCTTTGGAGGAATTTGTCCTGTGATAAACAGACTTTAAAATGATATTGAATGGAATTAACCCTCTCTGTGAACCAGACAAGCCATGAAATAATCTGTTAGAATGTACAAAGCCATGGCAAAAGCTGTCCATCCTCTGAGGCGATTTTCTAAACCCAATCTCATATAATGTGTATAATATGTAAGTTCAGTTGTATGAATATGCGATTTTAAAAAGGAGGCATGGCACCCAACTTCACCCCTAACCTCAACCATCATTGGGTGATGAGCAAATCGTACTAAATTGTTTGAATTAGATCGTACGAATTCATCTGAATAGCCACTAAATCAAAAAGTTACGAATTGCCGTGAGATTGCGTTGGAATGACAGTCCTTTTATGAAGTCAGTTTGATGGTTTCAGTCACTGACAAT